CTCACGTCACAAACTCTGACGTAAATCATTATAACCTCTCTCTCTCTCTCTGGATTTTGCCCAATGTGAGAGTAGCGGCACCGGGAATCCAACAGCTGAAACTTATCGAACAGACAAGGAGACGTGGAAATCACCCCATGACTATTGTATACAACCACTGTTGATATATTTTCAAATTGAAACTGCGTTTGTTAAATTTTAAAGGGTTTTTTGTTTGATTGTTGAAAATATTGTGCAATGAATATAAGAGAAGATAATACGCAACACGTCTGAATACCGAGAATGTTCGCGCGTTTCTACCCCTTTTGACACTATAATATGGGAAGAGAAGCCGGACGGCGGCACCGTCACCGCGGAAAATGTTCGGCAATTCCCGGCATGTTCCGTGGTTTTTCGACAAGCATCCGCGGCGCGATTTCCTTCATACGTACAATTTCACCCTGACCCACGCAACCATAAACATCAGGTTGCCTCCTAATTTTAAACCTTCGAACTTTTCTAAGATCATCCTTGAATTGAACCTATAGAATTCTACTCACTTTTCTCAAAACGTTCACGCCCACTATTTATTCTTCCTTGGACAGGAAATTATAGCGCGTGCTTAAAAACTAATGGGTTACGCAAATTGATCATCTGCTCCTTTCTTTTTTCTTCAAACAGTCAATGAATCAATGAATTTTCATAATTCTTTCGCTTACTATGTAGAAAACTTTTTAATAATTTCCCCATCATATACTTACTCGCTTTCTGAAATATCTAAATCAATATATATATATATAATAAATCATTGTTATATTTATCAACATTTCTTGGTTGTTGACAGCCAATCACATTAACAATTACAAACTTTATAAATTATAATTAACATATTAACAATTTAAAATCACATTTCAAAATTCAATATAAGCAAACATAATATTGAATGAAAAACTATAGTACAATACAAATTGAAACACCTTCCTCTGAATAGCTTTACTGCGTACTAATATTGTCGATTTTACAATTATTTAAAGAATAAAATAAAATTTATATTTTACAAAATTAAATAATTCCAATAAATTTTTACAAATACATGAAACTTTCATATAAAACTGTATTCTTTTTTAAATAAATAAATAAATATTTAATTATTATTTTTATTCTTTTAATTATTTAGTTATTATTTTTCCATAGGAATTAAAATTCTTCAAAAGATTCAAATTCCAAATCTTTTTGAAATTAAACAACTTATAAAAAATGGTTATAAAACATGAAGATATCGATTGCTCCGAGTCGAAGACTCGGAGTAATCGATATCTTTATGTTTTATAATAATTAAAAATAACCGATTGATAAAATCATTATTTTATATTATAAGAATATTGTTACTGTAACTTATTCAAAATTACTTTCATTACATCAGGTTACGGATCGACTTGAACGAACAAAAAAAATCGCTTTAGTCGATTAAAAAATTAAAAATAGAAAAAAAAGTCGAAAAAGTCGATTATTTAATTTAGTGTTGTCACAAATATTTTATTTTCTATTTCCCTGATTCTTCACTGATTTCTAAATTCAATGAATAAAAACTTGTATAATTTTGCTAAATAAAATATTTAAATACTTTTTATTTCTTTTTTCACCAGCAAATAAAATTCTAAAAATTTCAAATTCTAAATTACAAAAGTTAATAATTTCTAAAAATTAAAACTATAACCTTTACAAAATTTAAAATATTTTCTACAATTTTTAACTAAACTTCATTTCTAAATCTATTATCTATATTACTTTTTAATATTTTTCCGAAAGTTCTTCAAGAATTCAATTATTTAAATTTTAAATACATAAATTCAAATTTTTGTAATAATTGAAACCGTTTATTTTTTCCTTTTAAAAATATTAAGGTAGAATATATTCAAAAATTTTAATAAATAAATTCGTAGAATTAACTTTTTAAAAATATTTCTAAATAATTTTTTTTTGTAAAAATTGAAATTTGGTAAAATATTTTTAAAAAATAGTTTAAATTTAGTAAAATCTTTGAAAGAAAAAATTAAATTTCCAATAAATTTAAATTAAATTCCTTAAAATAATTAAATTTGGCAAAAGTTTTAATATTTCTGAAAATAACTGAATTTTGCAAAGAGTTTTATTGCAAATAAAGATTTATTTGAATTTTAATAAAATTTCAGAAAAAAATTAAATTTTGCAAAGAGTTTTATTAAAATTCATGAAAATAATTGAATTTTTCAATAAATTAAAAAAAAATTCTAAAAATTAAATTTCGACAAAAATTTACAATAAAATTCCTGAAAATGATTGAATTTTGCAATAAATTTCTTAAAAATTCCTGAACATTGGATTTAGACAAAAATTTCATTAAAATTCATGAAAATAATTAAATTTTGCAACTAATTTTAATAATATTCCTAAAAATTGAATTTAGATAAAAATTTTATTAAAATTGCTGAAAATAATTGAATTTTGAAATAAATTTCTTAAAAATTCCTGAAAATTGGATTAAGACAAAAATTTTATTAAAATTCATGAAAATAATTGAATTTTGCAATGAAATTTAATAATATTCCTAAAAATTTGAATTTAGATAAAAATTTTATTAAAATTGCTGAAAATAATTGAATTTTGCAATACATTTTTTTATAAAATTCCTTTAAAATTTATGAAAATAATTGAATTTTTCAATAAATGTTTTAAAAAATACTAAAAATGGAATTTATACATAAATTTATATTAAAATTCCTGAAAATAATTGAATTTTGCAATAAATTTTTTAAAAATTCCTGAAAATTAGATTTAGACAAAAATTTTATTAAAATTTATGAAAATAATTGAATTTTTCAATGAATGTTTTAAAAAATCCTAAAAATTGAATTTATACATAAATTTATATTAAAATTCCTGAAAATAATTGAATTTTGCAATAAATTTTTTAAAAATTCCTGAAAATTGGATTGAGACAAAATTTTTTTTAAAATTCATGAAAATAATTAAATTTTTCAATAAATTTAAAAAAAAATCCTAAAAATTGAATTTATAAATAAAATTAGACAAAAATTTTAATAAAATTTCTAAAAATAATAAATTGAATTTTGCAAAGAGTTTTTTTAAAAATATAGATGAATTAGAATTTTAATAAAATTCTAGAAAAAAATTTAATTTTGCAAAGAGTTTTTATAAAATTCATAAAAATAATTGAATTTTGCAAACGAATTTCAATAAAATTTTTTAAAAATTGAATTTAGACAAAAATTGTATTAAAATTCCTGTGAATAATTGAATTTTGCAACAAATTTTTTGAAAATTCCTGAAAATAATTATATTTGGCAAAAGTTTTAATAAAATTTCAGAAAACAATTGAATTTTGCAAAGAGTTTTATTAAAATTATAGATGAATTAGAATTTTAATAAAATTCCAGAAAAAAATTAAATTTTTCAAAGAGTTTTATTAAAATTCATTGAGAATAATTGAATTTTTCAATAATTTTTTTTTTAAATTCCTGAAAATTAAATTTAGACAGAAGTTTTATTAAAATTCTTAAAATTAATTGAATTGTGTAATAAATTTTAATAATATTCCTAAAAAATGGAATTTAGACATAAATTTTATTAAAATTCATAAAAATAATTGAATTCTGCAATCGAATTTTAATAAAATTCCCTAAAATAATTAAATTTTGAAAAAAAAATTTATTAAACAAATAATTAATTGAGTTTTTAAAAAATATTTTTAAAAATAATCAAATTTTTGATGAATTTTAATTATAAAAAATTTCTCAAAAATTCTAAAACATTAAATTTTTAAAAAATTTTAAATATTACTTTTTCAGAGAATTACTCTTTTCAAAACCATTTTAATATTTTCATTTTTTATTAACTTTACACCTGAAGATTATTCTTTAAAATTTTTAAATATTCAATTATTTCCAAAATTTGCAATATATTTCAATATAGGTTTTAAGAATAATTTAAAAATTTTCAATTGAATAATTTTATTTTTTGAAAAATTAGATTAAAATTGTATTAAAAATAATTGAATCTCTGTAAAAAAATTTGATTGAATTAAGAAAAGTTTTTGAAAATAATTAAATTTTAGAGAATAATAATAATTACAATTTTCGAGAAATTCCATTAAAATTTGTATTAAAAATAATTGAAATTCTACGATGAGTTTTATTGTTTATGAAAAAATAATTGAATCTCTGTAAAAAAAAATTTGATTATTTATGAAAATAATTGAATTATTGCAAAGAAATTTATAAAAGAATTTGTAAATAATGGTATCCAGACAAGAAGTCCAAACCAAGAAATCCAAAAAGTAAAAAAAAAATAGTTTCACTTTGCATTTATTTTTTTGGATTTCTGTCCTGGTCAAAAAGTACAAAGAAATTAAAAATCCAATGAAAAAAAAATTGAGATATAAAAATTTAAAATGGGTTGCTTAAAATGAAATTGTCCTTTTCTTCAAACATTTTATAGCATAATTGAAATTATTCTAGAAATTTTTTTATTTATGTATAAAAATAATTGAAGTTTTGTTAAGAATTTTTTTATTTTTAAAAATAATTGAATTTTTGTAAAGAATTTTATCAAAATTGTCGAAAATAATTGTATTAAAAATTTTATAGAATAATTGAAATTTTTCTAAAAATTGTTTTAATTTATGAAAATAATTGAATTTTTTTTAAAGAATTTTAACAAAAAAGTTGAAAATAATTCCGATTTTATAGCCGTAAAAGTAAAAATGTGGCTTTTTTTACATGTTTCATTATTTATTTTGGACGTTTTTATTTATTTTTGATTTTTTGACTTTGGACAATTTTATTTTTGATTTTTTGTACTTTGGACTTTTGTCTTTTACTTTCCGGTCTGGATTTATTGAATTGGATTTTTTGTCCTCTAATCGTAAATAATAGAGAATTCCTGTGAAATTTTTATTTTTAAATTATAATATATATAGAAACAATCTTAATTCCAAAATAATTAAATGTATTCATAATTTGTAGCCTACTGGCTTTAATTTATTTTCAGCATAAATTAATGACTCTTTTCGACACCGAATTTTTTGTTCTCTTCAGATGAAATTATCTAAAAAAATTGATACATTATAATGATGTGTTTCTTTGAAATAGTGTGTATTCAAAATACAAGAATATTAGTTTCAAATTAAGATCGTTTAGATGTAGACGGTTGATATTTTGATAGCTGTGATTTAGATGACGAAATCGAATCAGATTCAGATGGATTTAAAAGCATACTGATCATGTTTTGAAGTTTGTGTTTCTCGTCATACAAACCAGCTCTGCTTCTTACAAGAGACTGACATTTTAGGCACTTCTTCAATTCCGTTGTAAGGCGATTTATTTCTTGATGAACTCTCTCCTTTTCAATCAATAAACCGCCTAATTCAGTGGAATTTTGTTTATCTAAAAAAACAAGGAAATAAAACAAAAATAGATAATTTGAAAGAAATTGTGGAAACATAAAAAATTGATTGGATATTTACCATTTATGTTACTCAACTCCCGTTTCTGTCTATTTTCTATTCCCTCTGGTTCTTCTCTTATCCTTTTTCCAGATTTTTTATCTTTTGCAATGAAAGAGAAATTATGAAGTAAAATAATTTACCGAAATTTATAAATAATAAACTCTTAATTAAAGCGGAAGTAAAAATTATGTTTGTAAGCAAACAGAAATTCAAGGTTATACATTCATATACACTAGTATCTATAACTTATCTTTCCTAAGAATTAAAAATTATAAGTTCAAGATTGTATTAAAAAGATTATTATCTTTTCTTTAGGAATTAAATTACTAACTTACAATTTATTGTATATTATTTATATTAAATTAATTAAATAACTTTCTAATTTCTGAAGAAAAATAATGTTGACTAAAATAAGAAGGCTTTAGTTTCATCAAAAATTTAAGTGATTTTTTTCATAACTATAAATACATTTTTGAAATTAAACAAACGTTAAATTGTGTAAAACTAAAATTTAAATTAGTTATAATAAATATTTAATAAATTTATTAATTTTTGAAAACACTAAAAAAATTCAATTTTGAAGAAATTACAAATAATTGCAGAAATTCAAGTATTTAAAAAAAATAAAATAAAATAAAATTCTTCTTATAAAATTCAACTATGTACAAAATTTAAAAAAAAAATTTGGTACAAATCCCAATTATTTTTATAAATAACAAAATTCTTCTCCAAAGTTCAATTATTTTCCTAAATATCAAAAAAATTGTTGTCTTCATATCAATTATTTTCAAAAATAAAATGCATTTTTTTCTAATTTCAATGATTTTCAATATCTACTATTTTAATAAAATTTCCCAAAAAAAAAATTCAATTATGTATTTAAAAAAATTTTTATAAAACTGTATGCAAACATATAATTATTTTCATAAATAATAAAAATTTCACAGGAATTCAATTCTTATTTTTATAAATAAATAAATTTTTTTAAAGGAAGTAAATTATTTTCATAAAAAATAATTTAAAATTCTAGAAAATAATAATTGAATTAAAATGATGAAAATAATTTTGATGAAATTATAGTAACAATATTCTTACATTATAAAATAATGATCTTATCTCTCGGTCATCTTTAATTATTAGAAAACAATTAGAAAACAATACTTTTATAAGTTGTTTGATTTAAAAAATATTTGAATTTGAAATTTTTTAATTGTTTTCATTCCTGTGGAAAATCCTGTTCCAAAAATAAGATTAAAAAAAAAGGAATTTTACAAATATTTTTCAACTTTTTCTAAAACAAAATAATAGTTTTGTTAAAAAAATTGTGATTCATAAACAAAAATAATGCAAAATAATTTACATTATTATAAACTTTTTTTATAATTTTTCTTTTCAAATATTTTCAATTTTAAAATTAATATATTGAAAATCATCCAATTGTTGCAAAGAATTTTATCAAAAAATTTGATGATAATAGAATTCCTTCAAAGAATTTTATTATTTAGTAAAATAACTGAATTCTCGCAAAGAATTTTATTAAAATTTTTAAAAATTCTAATTAAATTCTTTTGAAGAATTTCTTTGAATTTTGTTTTTTTAAACTAATGGAGTTTCTTTGATAATTTTAATTGAAAATTTTGAAAGCATTTGAAATTTTATGAAGAAGAATTTTGTTGAAAGTGAATTGAAAATAATTAAATTCTTGCGGAGAATTTTACTCTATTTATAAAAATTGTTTCGAAGAATTTATTAAAAATTTTTGGACATAATTGAAATTTATGGAAATATTTTAAAATATTGAATTCATTCGAGGAATTCAATTAAAATTGTCTTAAAAATCATTGGATTTTTTTCAAGATTTTACTATTGAAAAAAATAATTGAATTGTTTAGAAGGATTTTACTATTTAGCAAAAATAATTTAAATGTTTCGCGAGAATTTTTACAAATTTTAAGAAATAATTAAGTTGTTATGAAGAATTTTATGGAAGTATTTAAAAATAATGAAATTTTTTCGAGAAATTCAATTAAAGTTGTTTCGAAAATAATGGAATTTCTTTAAAGAATTTTATTAAAGTTATGTATATTCAAAATAATTGAATTCATCACAAGAATATTATTATTTTTTGAAAATAATTGAATTTTCTTTTAATTATTTTGAGGAATATATTTAAAAATTGCATTGAAAGTAATTTAATTTTTATATAAAATTTTTTAAGAATATTTTGAGAATAATTATTGAATTATTTTTGGAGAATTTTAAATTACGGTGGAAATTGCATTTTATAGAAATTTTTGAAAATAATTAAATTCTTTCATGTAATTTTATTTAAATTTGATTAAAAATAATTTAATTCGTGTGAAAAATTTTACTGTATTTATAAAAATAATTGAATTTTTTCTAAGGATTTATTAAAATTTTAGAAAATATGAAGAGTAATAATTAATTTTGTATAAGTGAATTTTTTAAATTTTGATTATGAAATTATTTTAAAAATTTATATTTGAAAATTAAAAATATTTGTAATTTGCATAAGAATAATAAATTGAATATCACGTTCAGCGCGTAAAATTTTCTAGTAATATATATATATATATACAATCTATCTAAAGATAACAAAAACAAAAGTATAAATAAAAGATAACTTCAGAGTGTGAGGGACAGAAAAAGTGAATGAATGAAAGAATGAAAGAACATTCAAATTAATATAGTTAATATTAATAGTTAATAATTAGAATAAAAATATTCTAACCTGCAATAATTTTGGCTCTACGTTTGTACTTTATAAAATCAAACACATCCTTTGCAATTTCTGGATCTACTTCAATTGTTTCAGTTTTCTCATCCTGTAAAAAAATTAAATAAAAATACAAGAAAAATTTTATACTTTTGTGAGTAACTTAAGCGAAATTCAGTTTCGCGTATAAACTGACCAGAATTGTTATTAAAAACATTAAAAGAAGCATAAGCAAAGGACTTACTTTATTAGTGAGACTCTCATTAGTATGTGAAGAAATAGGGTAAAGGTGCCAGTCACTGCGAGAATCAGGTTTAGTAGCCTTTGCAAAAAAAAGATTCGAAAATTATAATGAAAGATGAAAATTTTCGTTCTTAAATAATAAAGATTTAAATAATAGTTTAAATGTATTTCTTTACGTACAATTGTATTGAGTAAGGTCGGAATAATTTTTTTTAAACATTTTCAAATATAATATTATTTTACAATAGTAAATAATAGTATTTTTCAAAGAATTCCAGTAATTGGAAGCAATTGCAGTAATTGAAGCAATAGCAGTAATTGACACATTTACCCTACATATTAAATTTAAATTTATTTTAAATAGTTATTTGCACTTACATGCGAGTAAGACATCTTTATGTAAATTTTTTAAAAATCTCTATAACTTGCTAAAAAAATCCAGTGCACGTCTGATAAAAGAATTAGACAAAAATTAATTTCTTAAGTAACAGCACAAACTGAATGATATGCACTGAATGATATAAATGGCAGTATTCATTTAAAGCTTGGAATTTATGGAGGAGGTGGATTCTTAAAAATGTGATGTCAGCGCAATCAACGATAACAAAAAATAAAGAAACTAAATACTTATTTTCTTAAAATATTTCATTCACCTAATCACAACTTCTCACAACTCTCACCTTAAGTCTACAGTTAACTTACGCTGCAAGGTTGTTGTAAGTTTCCCTGCTATTGGGGAGGACTATCACTGATAAGACTATAATTTATTTAACCACTAGAGCAGCATGGCGTTCAATTAGCGTCACTCGTGAAAGTGACAGATGCAGCAAAAAGGCGTTCCTGTGTTATGTCAAATTGCAAAGTCCGTAGATGCATTGATCATACAAAAAGTTAATATCTAAAATTTTGTCTTGTCCAGGAATACCTGGACAATTGTTTGATAATTTGGAACAATTTCTAAATGTCTTAAATGGGTTTTATTTTTGTTCCAGAAGTTGTACCGAAGTATTCAGTAAATTATAACTGATCAATTTTACCGAACACTTTATATCTTACGTTCTACCAAACTATTCAGTAAATATAAATGTATAAATGTAACAAACCCTTATCTTACGTTTTACTAAACTGAAAGTTTCTATATTTAAACTTAATTTAAATTTAGAAAATTAGGAAATAAACAAAATAGTTATTTATAACTAATTATTAACAAAAAATGTTAATGATTTTACTTCCAGTCAAATTTATTCAAAACTGCTAAATATTTAAATTGTCAATAGTGCCCTCTGAACAGAGAGCTTAAAATCTCCAAGCAACTGCTGGAATATAATCAATATGACTACAGGAAGGAAAGCTTTGAGTTGAGAGCTTTGCAAGCTTGCTTACAGATGGCAGATAATTATCAAGAAACAAATTTTTCTGTTTTATCCACTGCATGTGAAAAGGTGGTTTATTGATTCTAAGTATTCTCATACAATTTTTCAAAAAAATAATGCTCAACTAGAAATTTTCTATTTTCAACCAAAAAAAAAACATGGTAAATAAATAGCATAAGTTAACGTTTTAATAAATGACCAAAATTCTACATTTACAGTTATTTCTAATTATTAACAAAACATTTATGAAATTAATATTATCTACTCAGCCTTGAATGTTAATTGAGAACTATCATGTTTCATAGACTCAATAGAACTTCTAAACTGATTTAAAATCGATACATTTTTTTTTTAAATTCAAGCTAAGACTTCGAAAGTTACACCTACTACATTCAGACAAAAGAAATTAAATTTTCTTAACAACCACATTAATATTAACTGAATTAATTCTTCATTTTAAACAAATTGTCTAAATTTCTATATTATCAAATAAATTTTTAATTCCATCAAATAATTATTTATCTCAGTTAATTAAATCATACAAAAGCATGAAAGAATTTAACCGTAAATGATATTATCAAACAAACTGAAACAACAAACACAATAATGTTTCTTCATACATTCATAAATTTAACAAAATGTTATTAAATTATGACTTGCAAAGCAAATTTTTCAAATAAAAATATTAATGTGCATTTCTGAATTTAGCAAACGTTCGCAAAATGCTGTCGCATACGAATTTCATTGAAATTGTAAACACTACATATAAATGCTAAAAATAAATAAAAATAGAGAGATGAAATAAATTTAATTATAGATTAACTTTTTTGATTCGCTTTTTAATTTATTTCTTCATATTTTATAATAATACATTTATACTCCCACAAAGCTTTCAGATATAGTCCATTTAATTAAAAGCAGTTAAATTAATATAATTATAAACTATTTTTAACTTCGTCCATGGTTTACTATATTTTTCCCATGGTTAAAAATTTTGAAATTTTGAGGGTTTTAAATATTTTTGTTATAGACCATGTTTCGATAGTGTTTGATCATAGTTAAAATATAGAATATTTGTGGGTTAAAGTATTTTTATCGTTGACCATTGTTTACTTGATTTTGAGAAATGGTTAAAAATATAGATAATTTGAGGGTTTTAATTATTTTTGTCATTGGACATGGTTCGCTAGATTTTCACCACAGTTAAAATATATAAATTTTCATCTTTTTAATTGTATAAAAATTCTAACAAACTATTAGATTTTTTTTAAAAAATGACACAAAAGCTGTTGATAAAACATAAAAATGAATTGACCTAATATGTACTTGGTTCCATGAAACTTATTTTATGCAGGACGAGTAAATAAAGTATATTCTTGGGCATGTATAGGATTTTGCATGCACATAGTCAAAAAGGAACTAATTACTTCATATTTTGTGAAGCTATTCAAACATAAATATTGATGAATAGAGCAGTAGGTCGAGCAACTTGCATATTTCAATTTTGTCAACAGTGATACATAAGTTGTATTAATTTTTGTTTCTACTCAATCCTCATACACTTTGTGAGTTTTTTAGTTATACCGCGTCAAGTTTCATTGGTTTATACTATTATAACGTTACTTTATTATTTTCATCATCTACATTTACATTTTAACCATTTTTTGATAATTTATTACAATTCATAATTCCTTTATTTTATTCTTTATTTTAAAATATATTATAAAATATTTAAAATATGTGTTTCAAAATAATTTAAAATGCAGGACTCGAAGAATTTTTCGCTACTGTATTAAAGTCACGAATATAAATTAAAATTCAATTTTAGATGAAATTCTATAGAAAAATAACATATTATGTGACAAAAATTTCTTTTGGTTTTATTTTCAAATTGCTGATGTTTTTAATAAATCGGTAAATAGGACAGTTACCCCATGTTTCGGTCAATGAACTGAACAAAACTTGCTTAAATTTGTCTCGGGAAACTTAAAAAGATTTAGTGGTATATCTATCCTCGTAGAAACGATATCGATCTGCTACTATTACCTCATCTATCGTTGAGACATATGTAAATGCAAATAAACAGCGCAGATTTGGAATAAGTTTGCCATATTTCATAATATAGCTATTACAAATGATTTATGACCCTATTCACGAAATATCTTTAAAAGCATATGCATTCATGATCCACAGTATAAAACGTGAGGTGTTCAAATAACACCAGAATTAAAAATTATTGGTGGTAAAATATTAAATGTAATAAGTAAAATTATTTAATTTAATATTAAAAAATCAATTTATTATTTCCACACTGGCTAATAAATTCTTTGAAATAAAACTATTTTATATAAAAATTCAAATTTGATCTTCTCTTCCATTTCTTTTATCTTTCATGACCAATTTTTATAATCCTATTTTTATGACTTTTTAAACAGTGAATTGAATATGAATTTCGATAAATTTCAATCCTTCTAAAAAGTAAAAAAAATAAATTATATATACATAACATTTTTGAAATTTTTTTCCAGCAAAATGATTTTAGTTTCTAAAGGGTGAAGCTTTAAATTAAGAACGTTTTTAAATGTATTTTTTAACTTAATTCGAATCTGACGTTAGATTTTCTCTATCACGTCAAATTTCAAAATGGCTGATCCAATATGGCGGAAAAAATTAAAAATCAATAGTATTTGCTTAAAATATGTCATTCGGACTTTTTTGGGGACGCTGTTTACGAAAATAAAGTCAAAATTTAAAAATTTAAAATGGCGGATCCAATATGGAGGAAAAAACACAGTAAAACGTGAAATTCAACGAATCTAGCATCTCCAGGGAGAATAGTAAGTTAGTAAGTTAGTTAATAACTTACTAACTAACTTAGTAACATAGTTACTAAATTCAATTGTGTTCAAAAATTTTTAAAAATTCTCGTCAAAATTTCAATTTTCTTTACAGATAACAAAATTCTTTTCTGATATTCAATTATTTTACAAAATCTTAATCAAATTCTTGTCAAAATTTCAATTATTTTCAAGTTTTTATTTTTCAATATAATATTTAATTGCATAATTTCCAAATAAATGAAATTTTGTAAAATAGAATTGTAAAGGAATGAATTTGAAAATTCTCACAAAACTCATCATCATTTAAAAATTTGTTACTAAAATTCTTTACGAGAATTGAATTTTAAAAAACATTCAATTATTCAATAAATTGTTTACTTTTGCACTTAAATATTGAAATTCTTGTAGAATTTAAAAAAAATTGATTTAAAAATGAAATTGAAATTACAAAGAATTGGAGAAATTCAATTATTTTCAAAAGTAATAAAATTCATCGCAAAAATTAATTATTGTTAAAAAATAGTAAAGAAATTCAACATTTCAATTATTTTTATAAATAATAAAATTCTTCTCCAAAATTCAATTATTTTCAAAACTTTTAATAAAATTCCTGTCAAAATTTCAATTATTTTCAAAAACTTTCCAAAAGTTTTAAATTTAAAATTTTATAAAATTTCAATTCACAATTTGAAATTTTAAAGAACTTAGATTTTTGAAAAATTTTAATAATTCAAATTCTTTTGAATTTATAGTTAAATTTGTTAACATTCATTTCATTAATTATTGAAAATAATGAATTTATAGAAGAATTTTAATTAAAAATAATAAAAGAAATTGAATTTTGGAGAAATTACAAAGAATCGGAGAAATTCAATTATTTTCAAAAATACTAAAATTTTTCATTAAATTCAATTATGTTCAAACATATTTAAACATGCAACATTTCAATTATCTTTATAAATAATAAAATTCTTCTTAAAAATTCAATTATTTTCAAAATCTTCAATAAAATTCTTGACAATATTTCAACTATTTTTATAAAATTTTGCACAATTTAAAGATTTTAAATTATCTACTATTTTAATAAAGTTTTCCCACAGAATTCAATTATTTAAAAAAAAATTTAATAAAAATCTACTCAAACAATTAATTATTTTCATAAATAATAAATTTTTTTACAGGAATTCAATTTTTTTCATAAATAATAAAAGTCTTCGCATAATTTCAATTATTTATATACAAAAAATAATTCTATTATTTAAGAATTTATTTATAAAATTCTTTATGAGAATTCAATTTTAAGAAATATTCA